ACCTAAAATGTATTTGTACATTTATTTGCTTTGAAAAAAAACCTTATTCTCAAAATAATTACGTCCATTGTTTGGTTACTGTACGTACATATGTACGTATGTGGAATCTTGGTACCAGTGGTAATGAGAAAATGTTTGAATTCATTATAATAGCGTCTTTTAGAAAATGATTGTCATTTCATAGGCGATAGCATTTAAACTTGATCGAGCGGGGTTACTTTTATATATATTGGTGGTTTATTCACGTGATATAGGTGTAGCTAGTTTTTTACGGCTGTTTGGAGAACAACATGCTTAATCATATAGTCGCTTTAGGCTCAATGAAACCTTTCGGGAGATAGTATGTTAACATTACTGCACATTGAACCAATTCAAATGGTTCACCCGACCGACCATATTTTTTAGTGTTTTCCATTGAGCTGGCTCAAAGAGCCTTATCCTACACCGCATTGGCTCATTTGGCTTACAAGCTGCATAGCATATGATATATTTGATAATATCACACAATTCATGCAATTATATAATATATACACAGCTTGCAAGTCAATGCGAGCCAATAGTAGGACAAGGCCAAGCCGGTTCAATGGAGAACACTAATATTTTTTCATTTGTTCGATTTTTTTTTTAAAGCACAATTGTGCCAATTATTCGATTTTTTTTCCGAATTTATCCGGTATTACCCGTGGAAACCTTAATTTCCCGAAATCGTCCTATAGGACTGGAGGAAAAAAAAGCCGATAGACCGTCGATTTCATATGATAAAAAAACGATGAATTATCCTTTCGCAGCTTTATTTAGTTACAGATTACTAAAAAAAAGAAAGAAAGAGACTCAAGTTTCAGAATCACATGTAATGCAAAACGAAAATCCATGATAGTTTTTTACGGAATAACATGTATAATTATATAGTCGGTCTAGGCTCTATGAACCTTTTGGAGGCAGTGTGATGCATTACTATGCATCGAGCCAAACTCAAGGAACATATGTACGTACGTTCGTACGTGCAGGAAATCTAAAAATTTCAATCACTTTATATAGAATGAAGATAAATTAATTTGTCATACTCAATAGCATTGCATATATATTGTTTTTTGCATATTGTTTTTATGCAAAGAGATTCCTTCGCTTATTGATATCGATAATTTAGAAAATTTACGAGGTTTTAAAATTTCCTGCACCGTACGTATGTGCATACATACGTACGAACTAAATAGTGTTAGATCGCCATCAGGTGGTGTCCATTGGCCATCAGGTGGTTCCCCATCTATCGTACGTACATATGTATGTATTATTGTAAATGCTAAATTAGGTAAGGTCTAAACTATTTAGTAAATACATAGAAATTCGTTTTTTTGCCATTTTGGGTCGTTGGTGATAACAATAATGTTTGTCCAAACTCAAAAAAGGAAATGCACTTTAAAATTTCTATTGACGATTCTAATCAAATTCCGTAAAAATTTTTTATTTTAACTCTGTGTTTTTATAAAATTAAAATAAAAAAATAAAATCGTCAATCTAGTTTTATGGTCATTGAGAATTTCGACAGTTTCAAGTAGTGTTCCTATCGGACCGAACCAAATCAAACTTTACTCAAGTTTGAGTTCAGTTTGATTTTCAAATCAAACTCAGACTCAAACTTTTTAGAAAATTATGTTTGGTTCAAGTACGATTTCGAACTTTAATCGAAAGTTCACGAACTTGTTCGGGTTCGATATACTCTTTAACTGATGTTCCTATAAACCCGAACTAAATTTAGAGTCTAAGGGTGTTTGTTCTCAAGCACCTCACTCAATGGGTCGGAAGTAAATTTTCAATTAGTCGGAAATTGAATAAATTAACCAAATGAGTTACCATTTCGATGAACAAATCAGCGAGACGCAAACCACCTTTTTTCTTCAAAAATTTACCTTGATAAAGGTCGTTCAAGCATTACTTTTATATTTTTTACAAATCAAACATAATAAACAATTAATTCTCAACAAATTTTAAACGGTCTAAAAAGATAGCCACTTTTTTTTAATGTTCGAAGCTTTTAAAACAAATAATCGATATGAGTAATAAATACAACAATATTTTACCGTTTAACCAAACCATAATGAATACTATTATTCCATTTTTCACTTAT